CGCCCTTTTTACGTTTGGCTATTTCGAGTAGTACACGACTTTCACCCAACTTAATACAACATTCCCGTTCAGGTCCCTTGGCCCAGTTGGTTAAGGCGTGGTGCTAATAACGCCAAGATCAGCGGTTCGATCCCGCTAGGGACCATACTTTTTTCGATTAATCCCGCTGTTTCCGGTCTATTTTCAATTCAGTTTATAAAGTTTTGATCAAGACATTTTCTATCATTGAAATTTTTGCAATTTCTCACACATTTGTGCAACTTATTTTTGAACTTCCTCTCAAACCCGAAAGTTGTCGAATTTTTTGGGAAATCACGATAATGTTGAGGACACTGATCGTTATGTTTACTTTATTTTAATTTGCCGCTGCCACCTTCGAGTTAAATTATTAAGTTGTCAATGTTCGTAGGTGGGCCGCAGTCACGTGCAGCGGCCGTTCCTAGGCATCACTCCACTCATCCAACCCACTCCGGCGACGATGCTGCTTACCACAGAGCTGTTCGAGCAGATTATTCGAGAGAGATTACTGCCTGACCTCGTCCAAGTCGAGGATATGTCCGGCGGGTGCGGGCAAGCGTTTGCCGTCGTGATTGTGCTGGACTCGTTCAAAGGCAAAAACAAGCTTGCTCGCCACCGCATGGTCAACCAGGCGTTGAAGGAAGAGATCGAATCAATCCACGCGTTCACCCAGAAGGGGTTCACCCGGGAAGAGTGGGAAAAGGAAGGGGGCAAGGTGTAAATTCGCAATGGCGAAGACCACCCGATGACCAGGGGCGCCGGGCCACCAGAACCCGTGCCCGGCCTGAAAGATACTTATATATACCCAGTTTAACTCGTTTAATAGCACCACACATTTAATAAGTCTGATTTTTGATGTAGTTCAAGCTCAGCGAAGGTATCTTGGTGAAGCTGACAAATTACCCCCATGGCGCATTAAGACAAACTCAAAGTTTAAACAGCCACATCAAAGGCTCTAAGACCTTAGCTCGTGGAATGACCTTATTTCTTAGAAAGTCTTTCGCCGGCGTATGTTTGGTTTTGGCATTTATAAGGCCTTACTAATACTGGGTGTAGGATCGTGTTTATTAGGCGTGGTAAGAGAATATCTGAGGGCGACAAAGCACTATATTAAGGGGAAGGGGGTTGGCCGGGGTTTCGAGGGCCGATTGCGCGGGCGGGGCCACCGCTGTTCGCAGGGTAATTCGAGTGACGGGCCCGACGCACGCCCTGGCTAACGTCATGGTGTCCGCAGGAAATTGCGCGGGATCGGAACCAGGACATATGCGACAGTGTCGGAGATGTCGTGACAACGGCTCGCCCGCGCCACGCACGGAGTCAGAGCTCGCAGTCGTACAAACTGTCACACACCATCTCCTTTTTCCCGATCAGGCGCAAACCGCAGTGGATGATCAACTTGGCGTTTTCGCGGACAATGTCCCACTGCAGGCCTAGAAGCTTCGTCCCCACCAAGAAGCAGAGCCCCGCCACATGGTGGTGATCGGTCAATTGGGGGAGGAGCTCGGCGTACTTGTCGAGCTTGTCGTGGAGCAGCACCTGGTTGTTTTCGTAGGGGACGGTGATCTCGTAGTCGGCGGCGTTTTCGCGGCGGAGGAGGTCGGCAAACTGGTCGCCGAGGCGGGTGATGAACGCCGTCGCCAGCTCCTTGCCCAATGCCTCAAGTTCCTCGAGAGTGTCGTCGTCGCACGAGTTGACCTGGGTGATGAACTGGCGGTCGAAGTCGTCGTAGCGGTGCAGCTCGGGGCCCTTGGTGCAGTAGGCCCAGCTCCAGAGGGTGAGCACCGCCACCAGCACCGCGTACATCAGCTCGACGTCGATGAGGTTCCACGTGATCACTTGGGGCTGGTGGCCTTCGAACAACTGGCGCAAGAGCCACCAGCAGTGGACGATGCCGCGGTGGTTGAGCTTATCCACCAAAGAAGCCCGCGAGATCGGCCGCGGCAACGGCTTCAGCCACATCGCCGTCAACTTGCGCTGGATGAGGAAGAACTCCTTCTGCAGCGACACCATCAGGTGGTGGTCGGCGCTGCCGCAGAACACGGCGATCTCGTACTGGTCGATCTCGGTCAACCCAACAATCTGGGACAAGTGGTAGGTGAACAGCTTCGTCACCGGCGGGAGACAGTACCACCGGTCGAACGCCCGGCACACCGTGTCGCGCCAGCTGGTGTAGTGGACTATAAAGTCCATCAGGTTCAACAGCTGGTTCTGCTCGTCCATGAGCTGCATCTGGTTCATCAACAGCACGAGGCCGGCAAACAACACTTTACGGGTGCACGCGTCAACGCTGCGCTGCGGCTGCGGCTGCTGGTGAGGGAGGCCCGGGCGCAACAACCGCTTGAGCGCCAGCAAAAACAGCTCGTCGCCCCGCAGGCGTTTCCGCTGCCGCTTGACGACCTTGGCAAACAGCCCGGCGACGTCGTGCTCCCATACTTCGGGGTCGCAGGGGAGCTTCATCGCCTGGAGCTGGCCGAACTGGATGGCGGTGTCGTGGCGGAACTTAAGCAAGTCGGCGGTGTCGATGTAGAACATCATGTAGGTGACGCGCTTCATCAGCTCCAGCTGGACCCACTGGGCGAAGAGCTCGTCCTTGCGCACCGACCCCGCCTGCTCTTGGTCCAGCAGCTCGTCGGTCAGCGCCAGCAGCAGCTGGCCCAGCGTGCGCAGGGCGCGCATGGTGCCGATGGGGCCACCACCATAACGGGGCGACCGTTTCAAGATCTGGGCGGTGGTGTGGTGGTGGATGCGGGCGCGCTCGTGCATCTCTTTCGTCAAGCAGTTCTTCTCGCAAAACTCGAGGAGCGCGAGCGTCTGGAGCACCCACAACTTCGTCGGCAGCGAGAAGTCCGGGTGGAGGAACAACTGCATCCGCAACGGCTTCGCCACCTCCATGGCGAGCTCAAACTCCTGCGACTTGCGGTGTTTGCGGGCGGCTCGCTCCAGGGCGAACGGGTTGCCGATGTGGCACCCGGCCATGATCATCGCCACCACCAAGAGCATCTCCAGCTGCTGGGCGTCAAACAGCGGCTGGTGCAATATCGGGAACTGCTTATGGAAATACTGCCAGTACACCCACAAGTAGTACAGTAGCCGGTCCTTAAACTTCACCTGCGAGTCCGGAAATAACGCTGCCGCCTCGTGGCGGTTGATCGAGAGCGGCAGCAACGACTTCTGCATGGCGTCGACCATCTCGTCGTTGACGTACCACGCCTTGTTGCTGGGAATATTGAGCTCGGTGGCGTGGCGGTGTAAGACAGCCGCCATCGGCTCGTGGTCCATCAAGTGGCGCTTGGGGGTGTGCCCCAGCAGCGGCAGCTCCCGCAGATCCTGGGGCAGCAGCAGCAGGTTCGTCTGCAGCGGCGCCGGCGCGTTCAGCAGCAGCATGTCGTCTAGGGGGTTAGGGTAGACAAATACGTCCTTGGGCGCCAGCAACAGGGCGAACCGCGACCGCGGCTGCGTCGACGGCGCCCGCAGTTGCGGGTTTGTCAGTGGCGGCACCATGGTGGCGCTGTTAGTGGCGATTTGCGAGTTGTTGGCGGCGCCGACGGGGGTGCCGGGAGCGCCGGGAGCGCCGGCAGCAAAACCGGGCATCGCCCCGGAGGCGGGCAGCGCCGACATCGGCTCGTACCCGTCGAGCAACTTGGGCACCCCCGGGTCGTTCAGCAGCCACGTCAGGTCAAAGAGCCACAGCAAAATGTCGTAGTTCAGCAGGGGCATGTCGCCCACCTCCTGCGGGTTGACGAGGGCGGCCGGCGGCGGCGCTGTCGACAGCGGTGCTGCCGGAGCTCCCGGCACTGACGGCGCCGGAGGGGGTGCTCCCGGCGCTGGTGGCGGCGCCCCGTTTTGCGGTTCGACGTGGGGGTAGCCGTAGACCATCGGCAACGCCGTCGGCAACGTATTGTGCTGCATCCCCTGGCCAGCGGGCATGTACCCTTGGTGGCCCGGGTACTGGTGGTATGACAGAGTTTGAGCGCCGAAGCCGCCGCCGCCGCGGGCGGAGATCGACGAGAGCGGCGGCGTCTGGCCTAGCGGAGGCGCTCCGGCAACGGGCTGACCCCCGAGAGGGTGGTGGGGTACCTGTTGATGCGACGCCGCGTCATGGGCGGGTAGAGGGCCGTGGTTCGGGTGGGGCTGGTGGTGGTGCGCCGGGTGGTGGTGGTGGTGCGCCGGGTGGCCAGGGTGGCCTGGAGGGCCTTGGTGAGTGTTGAGGGCTAGGGGAGCGCCGTGGGGACTATGGGTGCCGTGG